CGCCGCAACGATATAGAGCTTGGGCTGTAGGAACTCCTCCGGAGTCTGCACACCCCCAGTGAGCGCAGTCAACTATATATATGGACCAGCCTGCATGCCGCAACGATATTTGGATCGGGCCGCGCACCGCTGCGGTTACTATATGGTACCTATGGAGTGTGAGTGCTGAGTGTGAGCGCTGACTGGTAAGAGTTAAGTCATGAGTGACTGAGAGGCTTGCCCGAGGGGCTATAGATATACATGTACATGACTTATGCTTTGCCTGAGTGGCCTATTTATGAGCTTACTATTTTTCACTCCTCCTTAAAGTAAGTTTCTATTGAAAATGTTGATTTAAATACTGTTTTCACTCATCTTTAGGCCGAGCCTCTATTGAAAATGTTGAACAAATGCTTTAAACAACTCTCATTTAAACCGAAGTTTTTAAGTTATGAAATGGTTATAAATTTCTGTTTTGCCGAGGGCTTGTGTATGAACTTTGCTTTGCCCGAGGGGCTGATCATGATTTTCATCGCTTTCACTACACATATATATTTCATTAAACTTATATTGAAAAGGCTAGAAAGATATTTTCCAAAGGATTTTATCGAAGTTGGAAGTTTAGCGAAATTATTTGAGTGGTATCCTGTTTTGTGAACATGTTGTAATCATTGTGGTGCTATGACATGGTTTATGTGATTTCTTACTGCTCAGTCGCTATTTACTCTTATTACTTACTGGGTTGGTGTACTCACATTACTCCCTGCACCTTATGTGCAGATTCAGATATTTCTGAGCTTGGTGGCAGTTTCATCGGAGTTACCAAGGTAGCTGCCTGGCGATCGCGGTTTTGCTTTCTCCCTCTTTATTCTTCCTTATGTATTTTTGTGACGTTTCCCCGACCATTTTGGTCTTGATGTGGTTAGACAGTTGTAGTAGATGCTCATGACTAGTGACACCCCGATATCGGGTTTGTGTAATTATTTCGCACTTTTCTTTTAAATTTCATTATGAGATATTGGTTTATAAATAGTAAAAAACAATTTTTTTATTGAAAAAATGGTTGATTCGGGTGTTGTGTCGGCTGGCCTAGTTTTACGATAGGCGCCATCACGATCGGATCGATTTTTGAGTCATGACACCGATACGTATATAGATATAGTGAGTGTGCGTACGAGGTGTATGTTTCCAGTAGTGCGAATTGGAAGACATTTGAGTAATCTGCACCTTGCTCTCCCTGGGCTAACAGAACTACAGGGTTAATTTTGAATTGTCTCTTTGATAGTGATTACACAAACTATAATTAAAAAAAAAGCTATCATATACTAAATTAATAGAATAATTTAATTTCAACTTAAGAATAAACATGTTAGAAATTCAATTCATATATATTAATTGATAAATAAAAATATAATAAATAGCTTAATTTGAGAATTGAATTCAAATGCGAATGGATTACATTAGTAATTAGTATAAATTAAAAACAAAATTTTAATTCCTTAAATATAGGACATCAAATTGAAATTTTAGACCTAAAATATAATTAGTCTATTTAGCCAAGCTTCTAAAATCAGTTTATTTTGTAAAGTATTTTTTCTCAAAAGTGCTTTTCAAAAAAAGTAGGAGTAATGGCTTTTGGGCCACTTAAACTTGCACCGAATTTTAAAGCCGATACATAAATTTTTGATTTCTCATTTTAGCACACCAAATCGATAAAAATACTTATAATAAACCTCTCCCTCAGAGCGTGTATCTCAGTTTCTTGATATGAATACCAGGTCAGGTACTAAGACCATTTATTGTTTGACATTTGTAACATCTGGGTCCCATCCTTTTTAAAATTAATTTATCAAATTTTTAATTTTTGTTCTCTTTCCTTTCTTCTTCACCATAGCTCCTCCAAAACCTTCCCTTCTCCAACCACTATTTCCAATGGTAAAAATTCAAATATGATCAATTTATATCCTAGTATATATCTTAACCAAACCTCAATCTAGAAATTAGTCCAAACAAGCCATTAAATCTTCTAAAAAAAAATATCAAAACCATTCCGACAAGGTTTTCATTGGAAAAAATGGCATCTCATTGGCACTCGTCAAAATCAAAATTAATAGACCTCCTTGAGCACCTATTACTTCTCGCCCCTGAAAATTTTCAGTAATTTCGTAGTCTCAACCGGCCAAAGAAGATCACCGGAAACACTGTCACCGCCATACTTGTCGTCAAACTGAGAAAATGAGATAGACCAACCAACGCTAAAATGATTAATTTGTGGAGAAATGAAGAATGGCCAAGGGATTGTTCAAAGTCGCAACGAAGAGAAAGGAGGTGGAGGTGGGGGATCGGGAAGAAACTGTGGGGAGAAAGAAATTGGGATTGGGGTTGGGGTGGGGGNTTGTTTGTCTTTTATTTACTTTTCCTTTTTCTTATTCAGATTTTTAATATTTTTAAGTTCAGTAATACGCGTGACACTCTTTTTCTGCGTGATTAACATGCATTTTGACCACATCGGATGTGCTGCTGTCACATAAGCATAGTCAAAGGTCAAAGGTGAACACTTATAAGTAATCGATTGAGTTTAAGTGTTTAAATGGGAAAATCGAAAGTTCATATATCGGCTTTAAAATCCGGTGCATGTTTAGGTAGCCAAGAATCCATTTCGTCAAAAAAGTACTTTTGGTGAGAATCGTATTATATTTGGTTAATTAATATGAAAAGTAATTTTGAGCAACAATTATTGTTTAAAAAATATTTCTAAGTATATTCTTCTCAAAAGTATTTTTCAAAAAAAGTACTTTTGAGAAGAAGCTATTTTCACTTAATAAAAACTACTTATGCTTCTAGTCAAAAGTATTTTTTTCTTTTTCAAGCTTGGTCGAACACCTTAATTTTTGAAAAAGATAGTTTTGACAATTAAAATAAAGAAAGAAGTACAAATAAAATGAACCTCCAAAATCTTAAGTTAAAATAAGATAAAAAATTAATTAAAACAAATAAAAAAGTACAAATTATAAATGTCACAATTCCAAAATGAACCTCTTCTGAACATTCATAGGTCCTTCTCATTTTCCCTACCTGTACTTTCTTGGGTCTAATTATATCTCAACATTCAGATGCCTTCAACAACTCTCCAAAGGAAAATCATATGCTTATTGTAAACATGTAATTTTTGACCCTTCTCAAGATGTTACATATTTTAACGTAAAACATTTAATTTAGGTTTAGTATCGCTATTCTAAATAGTTTTGACTCTTTTACTTTATTTTTATTACAAAAAAGAAATCCGAAAAAAAAAATATTTTTATCTTTAGGTTAAAGTTAATTAGTATATTTATATTTATAGTAGTATAACATTTGAAAATAAAAAAATTAGTTTCATTTTTAGTATTTAGTTTTATATTAGTTTATTTTAATTTGGAATGATTTCTACATTTTATAGGTACATTGTACTATTTGATTTTCCTAGCCTAGATTCAAACCGAAAACATATGGTCCAACCCAATTCTCTAAATTCAAGTCCAATTATCCTTAGCCCAAAACATTAAGCCAATACTCATTCCCATTTGACCTAACCTAATTCATATTCCCTAAAGAATAACGCCTAAATTCCTAAATCAAGAGGAGGGACCTAGACAGAAACAAGCACGGCAGCCATTGATGCTTTTTCTTCGATTTTCACCAAAAACCAACCGCAACAATCAAAAAGGAACCAGAGAAAAGAGAACGGTCCTTCACAACCCCCACACTACAAAAAGAAAAAGAAAAAGAAAAGCACACAAAGAAAGGTGAAAAACGGCAAAAGGATTTGAAAAAAAAAAGGAAACAAAAAGCAAAGTAAAAAAAAAAAGGCAAAAGAAGGACGGCAAAAAATCAAAAACCAGAAAAGGAAACAAGGCAAAATGAGGGGAAAGGGACGGTTGAATCCTAATTTCAGGTTCAAATCCTTCTGATTTTCATTTCAAATTTCAGCTTCTGTTTCGGATTTTCGATTTGAAATTCGATGGAGTTTGATTGAGGTCGCTTTGTTTTCGAGTTTTCGGGTGTCGTCTCGAGATTCCGTCCGGGTTCGTGTTTGAGATTTCTGTCGATTGGAGTTTCGATTGTAACTGTGTTCTGTTCTTGTCCGTGCAATTGTTAGACGATTTCATCAATTAAAAATTTCAGTTTTCAGGTTCAATTCTTTCCCTCTTCTAATGGTGTTGATTTCTTGTTTTAGGATATTTAAATACTAGTAATAAATTTTGATGCTGGTTTCCATTCGTGAAATATTATGTACTGCTGAGTTTCCATCATGCCTTTGATTTAACGTATGAATCCATCCCTTTTTTTTGGCTTGCTTTGCTTTGTTGAATGCCGAGTTCGAAAAAAGGGAATGACATTTTCTTTACTGTTGGTTGTGAGTTCGAATATTCTGTTGGGTTTTAGTTTAAGAGATATTGAATTGGTATTTGGTAGGATAATTTCCGAATCTGCTAGTGTCCCTTTAGTTACTTTTAATTTTGTTAATTTTAATCATGTCAAGTAGTTTTCTACGGAATTTTTAATGCTATAACTTGTTTGTCTGTTTTAGTTAAATTAGTAGATGTCATTCTTTTGTTAAAATCAAAAACAGTGATGGAAGCAAAGGATAACGATTTGTTTAAATAAAAACAGACATGTTCATATGAAAAGTGAGGTTAGGTTTGATGATTTTGAATCTGGGCCAAAATGTTTGCTAGGCCTAACGTCAAATAAATGCCAATTACCTCCATATTTTAACCAATTACTTTAACGATCTAAGCCACCTTTGCCACAATTGACTTTCATAGTTCTCATGCTTCACAATAATCTCAAATTAGATTAGGAAATGAATCACAAACACCGTAGCTTGTTTTAGGCGCGACTAATAATAAATTATCGGGACTATGGATATAGTTCCCGTGGCATGATCACGATACATAATCCCAAATTCGGGTGTACATTTCATGTGACCTGATCGTAACAACTTTGAATAACAATAAAATAAATATGTCGTGAATTGCGGGCGCATTTCATGTAGTGTGGTTTGCGGTGTGTTCCAAAACGATAAGTGTAGGACAATCGTAACTTGTTCAAGAAATAATTCCATAAATCCTAAAAAGCGGTTAAAATAATTGAAAGCGGTTATAAAGTTAAAAATGCACAATAGGTTCTAAGCATGTAATAAATCAGGTAATTAGGTCAATTATTAATAGTTGAGCGACCGTGCTAAAACTACGGAATTCGGGAGTGCCTAACACCTTCTCCTGAGTTAACATAATTTCTTACCCGGTCTTCTGTGTTCGCGGACCAAAAGTAGAGTCAATTTTTCTCGATTTGGGATTTAAAATAAACCAGTGACTTGTGACACCAATAATTATTCCAAGTGGCGACTCTGAATAAATAAATAAACTCATTTCGAATCATGTCACTTTAATTGAAAAAACTCTCTTATACCCTTTTCGGGTAAAAAAGAAGGTGTGACACTTATCCCTTTTCATTCTTCCTCATTTCATGCGATCGTCGACTACATTATGTACATTTTCATCTGTGGAGAATTTACCATCTTCAATATTATATATTCTCATATAGACTAGGGGTTTATCATTAGTATTTCTCTTTGAAGCATCACATTAATCCCTATAGGTTGAGGTGCCCTTGCCGCAACATGTTTACGACTTCTTGTCTGAGAGCGAAAAAATCTTCTGTTTGTGCCCACGTTTTTGGTGGAACTCATTGAGAGCGTTAGATTTTCTGGTGTTCGAATCTGATCTCATCTTCGGTGGCCACTTCACTTTATTTCGAGTTTCTCAAGAGCGTAGACTATTTCTGTAGGTGACATAGAAAAAATATGAGCAGATAATAAGGGGGGCATACTTCTTTCGTTCCGGTGAGTTCCGTCCTTGGCCGGGATAGGCCTTGTTCATAGCTAGAGGGAGGGCCAGGTGCGGCGACCATCCTAGTGTATGGCTGGTGCCGTTCCCTATTGGGTCGCGAAACCGAGTGATCTCTTCTGGTGTTTTCTCTTCGTTCTTTTCTGGATTCAGCTTGTACCGAGGTTATCTGGTGAGTTGGTCTGTTGAGGTCGTCCTCGTCTGCTCGGACCTCGGCGCAGTAAGCATTATGGATTTTGTCCCAAGTTGTTGGAGGATACTTCATCAATAAGCTCAAAATTTGTCTAGTTGCTCTTGAACTATCTCTACTCAGCCATTCCAGAAAGTTGCGACCGATATCCCTTTGGATACGTTCGGCAGAGTCATCCTTCCTCTATTGAACTGGGCGAGGAAGTCCCTTAGTCCTTCTCCCAAGAACTGCTTAATAGCGAATATGTCATTTACTCTTGCTTCGGCCTTCTTAGCTCCGGCATGGGTGGTTACGAACATATCGGCCATTTCCTCGAAAGTTTCTATGTTGTGGGTTGATAGCTGTGAATACCATGTTAATGCCCCTCCCATAAGGGTTTCACCAAACTTCTTTAGAAAAATAGAGGCCACTTATTCCTTGGCGAGGTCGTTGACTTTCACGGTGGTGACGTAGTGAGTCACATGATCCTCAGGATCGGCCGTTCCGTCGTATATCTTGAGGTAGGGCGGCATTTTGAAAGTCTTGGTATGGCATGCGAGGCTGCATCATCAATGTACGACTGCTCTACGAACCTGCTGACATCCCTTTTTGGCAGTAGCTTAGGGGCACCCGGTATCTTGTCAACTCATTTTTGATGTTTGATGACGTCCAAATCCACTACTAAAAAGTAAATGAACACGGTCGCATGCAATATAATTTACCCAACTATGAGTCGAGGTCGAATCCCACAGAGAACAATATGTAGGCGATTAAGAATGTAAGAGAATTATCACTTGTTATGCAATGCCAAACACTTAGAATTGATTTGAGAAAATATCTATACCTAAATGCGGAAATGTAAACTAACCTAGAAAGCAAGTAAAATGATCAATGGCTACAAGTATAGATGCATCGGGAATTACACTCAAGTAACGATCCAATGTATTTCACGATTTTACAAATATGAGTGTGTTTATGTTTAGCCACGGGTAATAATTCTATATTAGCTTCTTCCAAAGACTAACAAGAATTCCTAATTTAATTATCCTTATAACAGTTAAGAAATTAAGCATACCCGGAATGGCTACAAGTAGTTCAATCCTATCCCTAGGTAAAATCTATAAAATGAGGGTTAAAGCCTCAAGTTCTTGTTAATTAATCTTTTCCAACCTCAAATAATCTTTTCCAAAATTAATTCGAAGTTAATGGGCGAGTCCTAGGGTTAGCTAATCCCTTTGGAAGCATTAAAGAACAAGAATAATTAAAGAAACAATAACTCACTTCATAAAGAATAAAAATCATTCAATACATAAGCACAACAAGATATTTAATCCACACTTTAATTATGAATATTCTCATAAACAAAATTCAAGTGTTGGATAAAATACTACACACTTAGATATACAAACAAAGCAAGGAACTGAAGAAATGAGTACAAATAAGTAAGAAATTCTTAACCACAAGCTTCAAATCTTCAAAACTCAAGTGTGTGTGCAAACCCTAGCTTCCAAAACTTGTTTTCTCTAGTCTTTAGAACTGAAAATAAGCCAAAAGATGTGTACAAATGAGTTGGTTTGTGTATTAAATGGTTTGGGGTCAAAGTTGTGAATTTCCAGAACTGCACAATTCTCTCGTCCAGTTTCTTCTTCGCGTTCGCGACTACCCCTTCGCGTTCGCGAAGATTTGTTTTTCTTGAGATTCATGTTCGCGTTTAATCCTTCATGTTCACAAAGGTTTGAGTATTGATTCTTCGCATTCGCGGTGGGTACTTCGCGTTCGCGAAGGGTAAATCACTGGCAGGTTCCATTTGTCTATTTTAGCTCCTTTTTGACTTGTTTTCACTTGGTTTCTTCATCATTACTTCTAAATCACATACAACCTGTAAAATAGAAGTAAATAACATTAAACACACGATTTTATCACTCAAATATAGCAAAAATATAGGTTTAAAGACAAGATAAGTTGGCAAAATACCAACTTATCAATGTTCTTTCATCTGGTCTCGAAGTGCCTTGTTTTCATTCTCATTTCTTCCATCCTCTTTAGAATGACAACAAGGGAATTGTCACCTACACTGTTAGTAATATTGTGAGTTATACCTGTCGTTGGAGGGTTTGGTTGGTTGCACTACTCGTCTGTTTGTTGTATCATGCAAGCTCTTGCGGTTTCTGTAGTCATGCCTAGAGCAGGTTTGTTTAGGACGCTCACTAGCGTGTCGGTCAGCCATGCTTCGAGGAGTTTTTCACAACTGGGGGTATCCCTTCTTCTGCAGATGAGAGGCCCCTTTTCCGCTGGGTTTTGTTATGTTGCAGTGTGGGGGAGGTGATCTTTTTCACTTAGGGGACGCGTTGGGCGTCACGTCGTCACTTACTGTTTCACAGCTTTCGTTGATGATATTCATGAGGTTGGTTAGGAAGTCATTTGTTATTTTCGTCCTGTCTCCTTAGTTACATGCCATGTAGGGTTTTGTATTCACAAAGAATGGAGATCTCGAGGTTTTTTTATGTTAGTGACTTGCGCTAATTGTAGATCTCTAGGAAGCTAAAAATTTAACTAAGAAGTCCCCACAGACAGCGACAAATTGTTTGACCAAAAAATATAGATCTTATTACAACTAGTTAAATCAATATAAATGAGGGTTAATCTTAGCTAATAATAATATCCTAAAGATGGGGTCCTCAAAAGTTCAATAAGTACTATAAAGGTATATTTTGATAGCAGCGGCAACAGACAATCAATACTCAAGAAATCAAAGGCAATAATGTGGTATTAAATATTGATGAATGGCAACCAATGACATTTATGTAAATAAATACAAAGAAGTCACCCAAGATAAGATGGAAGTAATGAATATTCTCTCTGACAATGATGAGTGATAGATAATCCTTTGAATATCCGAGTTATTGTTGCTCCCAAACGCACACGTAAGTATACGTGGTCGACTAGTAATATAGAATTATAAGTCCAGATATCGTACCCACAGGGACTTGTGATTAACTATCAACTATATAAAACCAAATAATTAATCTATTCAAGCGAATCCTAATGTATGAATATTTAACTAAAATTAAGAGTAACAAATTAAGAGATTAAAGAAAACAAGTTGACGAATTCATTGTGAATGTATATTCTAGAGCTATGGGTTATCTAACAATCTCGTTGAGTTTCTACCTAAATTGTCTAATTAATTTATCTAGTTTATTGATTGACGGGGTTAATATTTCTCGTAGCCTTCTCCAGAAGTACAACTCGCC